GTAATGGAGGACACGGACAACGACAGCGTGCTCATGCTCCGACAGATGTACCTGACCTCGCTGGCCTACCAGGGGCTAGGTCAACTAACGGTCCCGCAGGTGGGCTCCTCCTTCTTGGAGCACCCAATGGACCCAATAGTGTGCAGCAAGAGCCCGAGCGCAGCGAGGTGCTCATCGATCTGGGTCACACGGGCCTACATTCAATGGGCGAACGCACTCCACCACTCCCTCATCAAGTTTGACGAGTCAGGTGTCCACGACATTGTCAACGGACCTTCCCCTTCACCATTGGCATGATCTGCGATGCAACCACGGAGCTCACCCCAGAGGGGGCAAAAGCTCAACTCCAGTGACCTCAGCCGGTATCCAGAGCAGATGCAGGGTCTCGCAGCGGCCATCCTTTGCAGAGCGGGACCCGTCCTGGAGTGCCCCAGGCGAACCCAACGACCCCCCCGAGGCGACAGAGGGAACCTTCTCCCAGCACGCCGGGGGACAACAAGCGCCAGTCCCGGAGGCTAATGGCCGGCCAACAAGCGTTGGCGGGACTAACCTTGGGCTCACTTCCGGTCTCGGCCTCAGACAATTCGGAGGTCCGGACACCAACACAGCCGGCTGGCGGGATGGTCGAACTTCGGGGTGGAACTCTTTCCCTGAGCCATGGGCACGCCATTGCATGGAGATCTCGGATCGGCCCACCACCCTGCCGATCACGCACGACCCAAATCTCTCCGACAAGGTTATGTACCTCCAGATGGCCTTCAAACAGCGCCCCCTAAGGGACGGGGGTGGGAAGCCCTCACTGGGACGGCTGGCCCCGTGGACTCGGCCACTGTCCAAAGCAGCAGCGATGGGGGCCAAGATCTGTGTCCTCACTTCGCCATGGGGGGACAAGGTTCAGGAGTCGCTCTCGTTGGGGGACGGGTCACATCCCTTCCCGGAGGACCTGCTGGAGGATATCAGTCAGATCCTGGCGCCGGGGGCAGGCCGACCAGCTGAAGGCCAACCCTTCTTCCTGGACATCTTGCACAGCGTGGCGCTGAACATTCAGGACCCCGACCACCAGTTTCGTCAGGATCTGGAACAAGGGGTCCCACTGGCACGGACCCACCCCTGGCCTCGCCGGGCATCTGGCCACTCAAGAAGGGAGGAGCCGGAGTTCCAGGAACTCCCTCATCCCACGGGCCGGGGTAACTACCCTTCGGCGGATCACTTCAGTGAGCTCATCCGTGGCACATTCCTGGAGGAGGTCCCCATGGGCATGGTAGAGGGCCCCTTCACCAAGGTGGAGGCAGCATCGCGCTGTGGCTGCGAGATTGAGGACCTTTGTCCCGGCCCCCTAGCGGGCATCGACGAAGGGGACAAGATCCGCACCATCTACGATGGCTCGGTGGGCGGGGCCAATGACACCATCAGGAACCAGACGGTGGAAAGGACAACGGCTCCGACGGTGCTGGATGGGGTACAAGCTCTTCATTGGCTACATGCGGCAGCTGCGGAGGGACCTCCCTCTCAGGGTGCCCCTGGCCCCGAGAAGGAGGTCGTCAAACCTCCACCTGGGGGCTGGCTATGGCCGGAGCCGGGCACCAGGTGGGTGCTGCTCAAGGCGGACGTCACCAAGGCCCACCGGAGAGTGAAGGTCCTCAGGAAGGACTGGCGGTTCCAGGTGGCTTCACTGGAGGAAGAATGGTGGGTGAACAAGGTAGGCACATACGGCATGGCCAGTGCCCAATTGTACTGGGGACGCCTGGCAGCCCTTCTACTCCGGGTCCTCTACGCACTTTTCCCTCAAGTGGATTGGAACTTCGTCTTTGTGGATGACTTCCTGTGGCTGCTTCGCAGCGAGGGGGCAGTAAACTTGGCGGTGGCGCTGTTGGCAACACTCCTGGCCTTGGGCACCCCGCTTAGCTGGAAGAAGACACATTTGGCGGAGGTCAACACGTGGCTGGGCTTCGTGGTCCACCCGAACATCCCGCAGGTTCTCATGGCCGCCAACAAACACATCCTGGTAATGGAGGTCTTGCAGACCATGGTGGAAGGGCAGGCGATGCACTCAAAGGACATCGAGAAGGCCCTGGGCCGCATCCAATGGGCAACTGCTGCATGTCCGCTGGCGAAGTCGATGCTTCAGCCACTTTGGGCCTGGAAGATGGCCACCACCACGGTGGGGAAACCCCCCAAGGTGGTCAGGATGCTGGCGTTCATGCTGCGGTTCCTCTTCAACACGCCCTTCGTCCAGTACTCCCCTTACTTGCCGAAGTCCTCTTGGTGGGGTTGCAGCGATGCTAGCGCCTCGGACGAAGGACTGGCATTTGTGGGAGGATGGTGCTCCAACAAAATGGAGCCGGAAAAGAAGGAGGTGTACTGGTTCCACGAGCAGATCCACGTGGAGGAGTACCCTTGGGCATTCAAGAATGGGGATCCCAAGCGGAGGATTGCGGCTCTGGAAATGCTGGGCACGCTCTTCCTCTGTAACATGATCCTCACGCACCAAGGCCCTCTGTCCTCCCGGGTCCGACTCCCGGTGGGCAGTGACAATCAGGGCAACGTCATGGCGATGCTCAACCTTGGATCCAAGAAGCCCTACACCGCGGCGATCCTGATGGAGCTGGTCTTCCTGCTCCACACCCATGGGCTCGCTGGCGGCCAACCAGTGGGCTGATGAACTGACGCACCCAGATTTCTCTGGGTTCGACCCTTTGCACAGGGTCCCCAAACAGGAACTCTGCGAGGAGTTCGTTTTTCTCCCGCGTCTCCTGAATGGAGATGCATTTGATCTTAGCGTGGGCCCACCCATGCTCCCGTGACCGGAGCCGGTGGGTGACTCACTTCCCCTGGTGGCAGACCCCCCTGTGGCCTGGGTGCCCCGGGCCCCGGCTCAGGGGCGGGCGCTATCAGTCTGCACACCCGTTCTTCAGTTTTTGAGAGTTTGAGGTGGGTGGCCCATGGGGCCCACCCAGCCGTTGACATCTGACAGGGGAAGATGAGTCCCTGGCACCAACACATTGCTCGGATAAAAGAGTTATCGCGTGCTTGTGTGGTGCCGTTTGGTTAGCTTACATACACAAGTGGTTGAAAAGGGCGTTCAACTTGTGCCTCTCTTTTTTGAATGGTTGGGGGCTAGTGGTTCAAAATAGTTCCAGGGAGTCATTGTTGTTTGGTCCATGTGGTTCTTCGGAGGTGGGCTGTGTTCAAAACTTGGTGATGCGAGAGGTAGGGAATGACAACGAGTCCGGGTGTGAGGAATGAACCGGTTTAGGGGATTCCCCAAAGGAAACCACAAGAAATTGTTTGTAGGGGTCATTCCCTCATTCCCTGCCGAGCACCAGCAAGTTAACCATGTCAGCAATCCTATAGTGACCATAAGGAAGCGAGTTTCTGTTAGCTCTCTCGAACTCGGAAGTCGAATTCGAGCCGAGAGCAAACTGGACGAAGCTTTTGGAGCGCTTTTCCTTCTTCCACCTCTGGGCTGCTTCCTTTTCTTTTGCTTCCTTTTTCATTTGTTTTTGGGCTGGGGGGGAGGTGTTCGTTGTTTTCTTTTTCTTTTGTTCCTGTCCTCTTGTTCACCTGGGGTGTCTCTCGCTCCCTTCCAGCGAGCGCCACGGAAACGTCGGCACTTTTCTATGGTGCTTTGGGGAAGGCTCGGTGCTTTGGAAAAAAACTTGGGGTGGTAAAAAACGACCACCCTAGCACCTTAGCAGCTGCATGACCGGACCCTACTCTCTGGATCGTAAAAAAAAAAGCCCCTAGAGGGGTTTTTGGGGGATTTTACGTCGGTGCATCCCTTCCTTCATTCCTTCAGTCCCTTCTCCAGAAAATCTTAAGGAGATCCACGGCCTTCGCACCAGGGTGCGTTTAGGGTGCTCTGGGTGCTCTGGGTAGATGCATTTGGGCCGTGCTCCGAGTATCACAATTATTGATTTACTCTTTTTGTTGGAGGATCCCCTTGCGAATCAGCGGAGTTTTTCTGTGAGTGCATCTAAGACCGTTTCTCAGAGAAAGGGCACCCAAAAGTGGAACCCCGGTGAATGAACCCCCCAAGGCCCAGGTCCGCAACGGCGTTTTTTCTTTTTTTTTCTCGCTGGCGCTTCCTGGCGTCCGGATTGAGACTTGGGAGGCTGACTCTTTGTGGAGGCACCAAGGCAGAGTTGCCCCCGACCAAGACTAGCCCAAAACGCACGTAAGACCCAAAAGCAAAGCTAAAACCAGCACACCTCACGCAAAAAAAAAACATCGCTCCAAGCGCAGCCCAAAGCCAAGTCGGCCCTGCTCCCCAGAGCTGGAGGTCTTAGCCAAAATCAAGCCCACTCAGATCTAAGCCAGCCTCAAAGCACCCGTCCACCAGTTCCTCGGGCAACTCCCAGCCTGCCCAGTCAGAGCCAATCAGCCAATCAGCCACTCAGCCTCAGTGCCAGGGATGGAAGCCAGCGCTCGGGGGGGGGGGGGGGGGAAACATCGCCGGTTTCTCTTTCACGTTCACATCCCCCCCGGTACCAAGCCGTTCAAGGTTTTTTGAACGGATCAAGCCCATTTCGAAGCCCGTCAACTCCGAATCCCTTTGAAGCCCCTGTCACTCGCTTTCAATTTTGAATTGTCACCCCTCTTTAACCCCCTTTTCATCCCTTGTCCCTTTGTCAAAGCTTTCAAGTCTCTGAGTCAAGTCGGGCCATGGACCTTCTTTGGGCTTAGGCGCATCGTTGCAAGCAGGTGAGGGATCAGCTTACCTATGTCCATAGGCTTCCCCCTGCCTTCAACAAAAACGACGCGCCCTTGCACAAGAAGACACCCATGTTAGGTACCCACACGTTCACCCCCCCCCCCCCGGCGTCATGGACACTTGCAGTCTATTTTGCAGACTCGAACCCTACAACCCCAAGTGTCCATCATAAGAAAAGGGAACCCACCACATACCTAGGTCATATCCCGCCCCCCCCCCCCCCTTACCCCCACCCCCGGCCCAAACCAAGCCGGAGAAGGCCTCGTCCTCCCCCCCCCCGCCCGAGGCTGAGCTTCCTGCGGCAGCGCTGGCGGCAGGACGGCCCCCGCGGCGCCCGGAAGCTGCGGCTGGAGATCTTCGCCCTCAGCGCGCTGAGCGCCGCCGCGGGGGTGCTGCTGCCAGCCGCCGCGGAGTGCCAGGAGCGAGGGAGCGAAGAGCGGGGGGGGGAAGCGCGCCGCGTCCTGCGGTTTTGGTGGGGAGCCCAAGTCTTTTTTGGGGTTGGTGGGGTTGTTGGTTCTTTTTTTGGGGGGTAGGGAACTTGTTTTTTGTTGTTCAGGGCTCCTTAAAAGATGCATGTTGCAACCATTTGAAACATGGCTTCTTCTTTTTTTACCAACATAAAGGGAAACCTCCATTTACACGGCAGTGTTCAGGTGTAAAGTGTAAGGATCCCTGTTTTTTGTTGTTCGTTCTTTTAAGGGAAACCAGCAGGAAACCCAGTTTTGAGGTTTCCTATATGAAAAGTCCATTTTCAGACCAATGGGCTTTTCTTGCGATCCGTGCGAAATCGGGGAATGAGACATGGAACTATGGACCATCCCTTGGTTTCCTTTACCGGGAATCGGTTTCATTCCCACATTCCCTACAGGGGTTGTTTGGTTCCTTCTTTCTTTTTTTCTTTTTTTTTGGGGGGGGGTTGGTGAGGAAACCAGAAGCCAGAGGGTTCCATAGGAAATGGGAGACTTCAGCCGAAAGCGTGTCAGGAATTGAGATAGGCCCAGATTCAGATAGCGATCTCTGGGCTGGTTTGGGGCAGCTTTCAGGGAGGGTTCCGGAGATTCAGGGCTGTTGGGGATATCACCTGAACTTGTGTTTGTGTGTGTGTGTGTGTGTCTTCCTAATCCTGTTGTCTCCTCCAAATTGGTTTATATTTTAGGGTTACCTAAATATGAAACAGAGTTTGAGAAGATCCTAATATTGTGATTATGCTTGGACTTATTCGAATTGTTGGGGGGGATTCTAATTCTTATTCCAATCATTTTGATTTTCCTCATTGGGTTTGTCTAAATAGAGGGTTTTCCTGTTGGTTTCCCTTCAAGGGTACCCTTAGAAAAAGACATACCAACTTATTGAAATCGTTGTCTCCAGTATACTCACTTCCTGAGTTCATGAACTTTAAGCTTTTTGGGAAGACCAATTTAGTGGTGAACAACAAGCTAGGACTTTTTTGGGCCATCCACTCAGCCGGTGAGTATATCATTCCTTTCTTTCAAATCCTATCCCCTCCAGAAAGGCAGTCAGATAGAAGGAGGTCAAGGCGAATTCCCGTCGAGACTGGTCCGGGAAGGATACCCAGCTTCCAAGCAAAAAGCCACACAGGTAAAGGGAATGGCCAGCCTCTTTGCGCAAGCTCTTGGGGATACACTGGCTGGCGAGTCTTCCTTTTTCCTTCATCCTATTTCCTCTCTCCTTTCCCCATCTCTTGATCAGATTCTCTGGGAATTGCTCAAGAAATGTAGAGACAAGGAAAAGGGGAATAGAAAGGAGATAGAGATGCAACACAATTCGTTTGATGGCCATAACAGATTGGTCACCGTCAAATTCAGCCATGGCAACCACTGCAAGTTATTTGCTATCCCACGCACCTATATATTTTCAAGTCATCTACAGTACCCTTTTCAGGGGTTCCCGCACCAGATGAGTCAACAAGTGAGACATCCACGCTTCTGTGGGCCAGAGTCTTGTTATGTAAACGTGCTCATAGGCTTGGATCTTTGGAATACTGGAAGGAATGACTTGATTGTACTGTTCTGGGAACACGCCCTCCAAAACCGATGCAGTTTTGTCCTTGTGAACGAGCTTGATGTTACGAACTTACCAAGATTATGATGCTGGGATCTTGTCATGTACAATTACATACCAGGGACTTGCCATGTATCTGCCTAGTTAGCCAGCTCACCGATTCGGGGGTAGAACGAGCTCATGATAAAGGTCCTTTACTTAGGATCCCTTCGTTCAGCTTTTGGATTAGTAGACATCATTTGCAGATGTATAGCATGATGCTAGGAAAGCGTCAGTACTTTTACTCGGAGTCTTCCCTGTATAGTTCGATAGCAGCTTGCCATGTGTTGTTTGATGCTCGGAGCTTGCTTCAAATGATACTAACGTGCCATGTGTCGTTGGAAGCTACCTTGCCTAGGAACTCATGTGGCTGTGGGTCCAAAATGCATACCCAAAATGGAACCCTGGTAAATGGAACCGAAGACTAAAACATGCAGTCCCCTGGTGGTTTTATTTTGGCCCATATCCATGTGTAGCTTGATACCCGTTTGCCCAGTTCCAAGGAGAGCACACTGCAGCGCGCCTTTGCCAACAGTAACCAGTGCATCTCCCAGGCGGGGCTGGGTGCAGGCGAACGGGTCTGAGGTGAGTGGACTCACCGCGAAAAAAGGGAGGTCAAAACAAGAAGGACAGGTAATGTCATTTGAAGGGTTGTTTGTCTTTAGCGGAAACCAAAGTCTTGAGCACCCAGTGTTGTTGCACCAGGGCCTCACTTTGAAGGGTTTGAACCCCTTTTCATATGTCCAAAGACAACTTTACATACAGGCAGTGGGATCAACTTCAACTTCAGTTTAACTGAGGATTCCCAACCTCAAACTGGTTTGGCCCTTTTGATTTCCCAGTAAACCACCCCAAAAATGGTACACTCAAAAATGAGACACCCCTTCGCCGGCAGGAGTGGGGCCACCAGATCGTCTAATGTTTTGGGGGGTCCCCTGTTTCAAGACACACCCAAATGCCGGCTTCTGTGGACCCACCCCTGCAGGATTTTCAATCTATACGAACCTATTCTTGAAAACCGCACCAACCAAGGGGGGAAAAACCCGGGTGCCATCCACAAACCGGCGCCTCAAAGAAAGCCGTTTCCCAGATCAAGTTGGCTTCATTCACATTATTCACATTGGATCAGGGTTGTCGGATCACTCGGGGTTTATCCAACCACTTCTGTGATACAAGGGAATCCCCCTTTCTACTAACAAAATTGTCTTTGGGAAGCCCTTTCTGTATCACACAAATGGATTCCTTTCCCCACAGCCCTGCATTGGAAAAACCCAGGTGTCATCCACAAAAACCGGCGCCTCAAAGAGAAAACCGTTTTCTCTAGGTCAAGTTGGCTTCACGCTGGGAAGGAGTGGGGTCACCAGATCTTCAAGACCGACCACTTCTCTTCAAGGCTCATGGAGCCCACGGCGGGGCTGTTTGGCGTGCAGTACAACCCCAGCCTCTGCCCGCAAGCGACCCGACCCGCTTGACCGCCACGGGGGCTTGGGGGGGTGGGGGGGCTTGGGGGGGCTTGGGGGGCCTTGGGGGGGCTTGGGGGGCTTGGGGGGGCTTGGGGGGGCCGATTTTTTGGGGCGGGCGCGGGAAAAAACGAGGCCAGGTAGGTCCTTTTTACTGGGGGATCCCTGGTTTCAATTTTTTGTTTTTAAAGAGATGCAGAGCATGATAGAAACCATTGGGTCTCAATATCTTGGGATGGGCACGGTTTGTGTTTCTCTTCTTTGAGGCTCGGTACCCTTTTCAGGTTGGTTTGCAGGGAATCCAAAAGGAACGCTCCATGAATGTTATTCATGTTTTGGGGGAGAGCGTTCTGGGCGACCATTTTAGTACCGGGTTTTGATTGTGCCTCATTCGACTTCCTGTGGGTTTCTTTGGAGCAAGGCCCTCTTCAGCAACGTGAGCGGCGCACCCGAGTGCCACTTGGAGAAGCTGGGCCTGGCCTTTCCCAAGGACCTCCCCGAGCGCGAGAGGTGCGATCGGTGGCCTTGCCGGGCGTCCCATCGGACGGCAGGTTTTAATCCTCGGTTCCGTTTTGCAGGGTAACCCATTTTTGGGTACCCAGTTTTGACCCACAGCCATTTGGTGGTTGCAGGTGATTTGAGGTTCCACTAGATCTTTCTCAGAGAAACAATAGAAGTGGCTAGACCTCCTCTGGACGGCTCTCAATGCTGAAAGTCCGATAGACGTCATGTCCGAGCTTGTGAGAAATCTTGTTCAATTGGCTTAAAAGAGACGGCGGCATGCGGAAGAGTTTTTTGCCACGAGTTCTCAAATGGGTATAGATCAAAATGAAGCCACCAAGTGACCTTTCTGGTATTCAGTCCTTGTTTTCATTCACCAGAGCAACCCATTTTCGGGTGACGAACTCTTTTTCGAGCCACCGAAGCCACGCGCTTTCGCCGCGCTGTTCGTTCGCAAGCCGCTCGTGGCGGCGTGGCGGCGAGGTACTTCTACTGCTGCGGCTTCTCCGACATGGCGAGCTTTCACCAGGGGAAGGTCTATAGCTTCACGGCGCCCAAGGCCGCGGATGCGAGCCGAAGTCCAACAGCTTTGGCCCGGGCTTCTGGGTGACTTTGGTCCTAAAGCCAGAAGAAGGAGAGCCTTCCAAGAGGATTCTTTTCGCAGCCGCCCGCCTTAGGTTTTTCCAGGCTGAGTGGTTGGGTTTCCATTTGGCCCACACTTCTATTTGCTTCAGCTCTTTGTTTTACTCTCCCCATGTTGGTTTTAAAGGGAGATTTCACTACTGGACACATGTTTTCTCATTTTGTCCGGTGGACGAAAAAGCAACTTGAAGCGCACGTGTCTTCGTTTCCAAGGTTTTTGGGGTGTGGTGCTCGGGTTTCCGGATTTTCACGCCACAAAGGTTCCGCTTCAAGCCTCATCTTCACTTCGTATTTTTTTTAAATATCTTGTGAACTCCAACCATTTTCGCAAACATTTTCAGGCGCCGCTGGAGCTGTCAGAGGAGTGGCCCGCCTTCGGCTGCCAGCCCCTGGCCAGCGGCAACATCTCCATCCCCCGCTACAACGCCATGGCGGCGCTGGCCTTCGTCCCGGGCCGCACCGCGGTGAAGAACCTGCGCCTTGGGCCGAAAGAAGAAAAAACGCATGTTTTCTCCAGCCATCCCCTTTGCTTTTTAGCTTTTTAGTGTTTCTGGTTGGATTTCCATTTACCAAAAGAAGAAGAAAACACACATTTAGTCCGAGAACCAGAAAATGTGAACATGTGTGAGAAGGGGCTCAACGTGAGGCCTGGGCGCCATGAACTTCCCGCGTTGCCATGGAACCTGAGGTTTCGGTTGACCATCTTCCTTTACAAGGTCCCCCAGCTAGGTGCCAACTTTTGCCGATCCTTTTTTGGTTGGAGGGGGTCCCCTACTAAAATAGACTACAGAAAATAGACTACTAAAATAGGCTTGGATCTTTGGAATACTTGAAGGAATGTCTTAATCGTAGTGTTCTGGGAACAAGCCCTTTAAGTTTTGGTCCCCCAGCTAGGTGCCAGCTGTTACCGTTTCTTTTTTTGGGGGAGGGCTCCCCTACTAAAATAGACTGCAGGTTTTCTCTGGGTGGCTCAACCAGCCATCCGGTTCCTTAGGTTTTTAGATCTTTTGTAGCGTTTAGTGGGGATTTCCATTTAACCCACTAAAAGTTAGACTAGGTCCCCTAGCTAGGTGCCAACTTGTGCCGTTTCTTTTTGGGTTGGGAGGGAAACCCCTACTAAACTAGACTACAGACAAAAGTTGGTACCCTTACTCTAACCTCTCCATGGGAGGACCTAGAAACGCATTGTTTCTGCCAGTTTTAAGGCGAGCTCACCGAGTGGGGGGTAGAACAAGCTCACCTTTTCGATAAACGTCCTGGAAAACTGGCGGATCCCTCAATTTAGCCTTTGAAATTATAGTCAAGTTTTTGCCGATGTTTTTGGGGTGTGATGTGGCTTCCTCCATTTGCTGAAATGACTATTCCTCTTGTCTGAACCTCCAACATTGGCAGTTTCCATGAAAACCACCAGTAAACTTCCATTTGGTGAAATGAATACATGTACATGTATATCTATATCTTGATTGTCCCCTGTTGGTTTTAAAGGGAATCGATTTCACTACTGACATATTTGTTTATTTTTTTTTCCAGGGGCGTATTCGCAATGCAAGGTTCTAGCACCCAAGCTTGCGTCACCCAAAGTCGAACCCGTTCTCTCCATAGTGCTATCGTTGGAGTTCAAGGTTCTTTCACCCACTGCAGCACTGTTCCCTCAACTCGCCAGTGGGAGTTGCAGGCGCTTTGCTATTTGGGGGTTCAAAAGGTCCTTTGCCTGGGACGACCATGAGGGACACCACCAAAAAGCGGACGTTCGCCGCAAAATGGGACAAGTTGCGCGTGGTCATCTTGGGGCCTTTAGAGGGAATCTTGCCCAGCCCTTTGTTAGGGTGGCCGCGCAAAGCGGAGTCCCCGAGTCCCCGTAGCGCCAATGGCGATCTAGGTCCCCCAGCGATTGGTGCCCTTTTACCGTTTCTTTTTTGGTGGAGGGTTCCCCTACTAAAATAGACCACGGAAAAAAAGTTGCTACCCTTATGCTATCCTCTCTACTGGAGGAGTGCCTTGAATTTGGGGGTTGGGACTTTCCCCTTTGGCCCCTTTTGGGTTGGGCGTCTTTTTTGGGGCGCAGAGGAAACTTCCCTTCCGGTGGCCTCACACTGCTGAGGCATGGCATTTGGATCGGGTGGTTGGGCGCCATGAACTTCCCACGTTGCCATGGAACCTGAGGTTTCGGTTGACCATCTTCCTTTACAAGGTCCCCAAGTAGTGCCCTTCTCTCCATTTTTTTGGGATCCCCTACTAAAATAAACTACAGAAAGAAGTTGGTACCCTTTTTCTAACCTCTCAAATCTGGAGGACCTAGTTTAAACTTCCAGGGGTTGACCAAGATTCTAGAGAAAACCCCGATCAGGTTCTGTGGTCTCCCTCTCGACCCGCCTCTCCCTTCGCCCATGTCAAGATACGATGGGTTTGGGACGGGTCAACCGGAAGATCCCATCCGTTTCCGGACGCTGGGGAGAATCCGCTGGCCTTTGTTAACGTTGCATTTGGGGATACGCGGGCGACGTGTTTGTCTTCTTCCATTCGCGAGCCTCCCAAAACCCATCGTTTCCTTCCCCTTGTTTTTCGTTCTTCTTGTTTTCTCTCTTTTTCTTCAAAAAGCAAAGAGCGAGAATCCCCGTCGATTCATTCCCTTCCTTTTCCTTCTCTTTCCCTTTTTGCCGTTGGCAAAAAAAGAGGACAGCGACGCCCTTTTTGAATTCACCCGGCCAAAGCCAAGAAACAAAACAGCCGGCGAAGAAGGTGTGAAAGGACCGAAAGCCGGCCGAAGCCCCGGCCGAAGCCGAGGTTCACCCGGGGCTCGCCCCACATGCTGCCCACCGGCTACATCGCCAGCTTCCTGGCGGTGTACTTCTGCCTGGCCGCCTGCACCGCGGGCTCCGCGGTGCCCAGCGGACTCGTGGTGCCCATGATGATCATCGGGGGCTGCGCGGCTCGGCTTCGGCTGCCCGTCTTTTTTTGTTTTTGTTTGGGTTTCCTCTCGCGGGAGGAGGCGCCGGGGCAAAAATGCCAAGAAAAACCAACGGCGCGGCTCAGCTCTTTCCGCACGCAGCCTCTTTTTTTTTTTTTTTAAAAAAAAAAAAATAAAGGCGCGGAAGGGCTTCTTTTCTTGAAGCGCCGGGCGTTTTTTTGATCGAGATTCGAGTTAGGGCCCCCAGCTTGGACCGTCGATCCTTTTTTGCCATTTGGTTGAAGATAACATTTTGTTTTGTGGTTTCTCCATTGGTTGGTGGCTGGATGTTTCCTAGAAAAAAATGCGCGACGTTCCGGGATCCCGTGATTCCAGGCACAAAGATTGTGCCTCAGGTGCAGAGGTGTCCTTTTGAACGGTGAGTTTGGTTAAGAATAGAAAACATCGACTGGTTTAGATGGGGGTTCTGTCAACTGGCAGGCGATCCGGTTCCTGAAGTTGTTTGCGAAGTTTTTCAGGTTCACTTGGTGGTTCAACCAAAGCGTCCGGGTCCCGAAAGGTGTTTTGTTTTTTGGTTAGGTGAGAGGTGGTTGGGTTTCCGAATTTCATCCACGAGTTAAGACACATTTAGCAGGCGATCAGACAACGGACAGCCCAGAAAAGGTTGCACGGCGCATTTTCTCATTTCTCGTGAGGAGTTCCCACTTGGGTTTTCTTGGGGAGTCGCTCGCATCTTTTTTTGCGAGATCCCAGGTGGGGCGGATTGTGGGGAACACCTTGACCAAGCTCTTCGGGAGCTTTTGGGATTGCCCTGCCGGATGGGTTGCGCCCTACCAGATGTTGCTCCAAATGCTGCCCGGGCAGGCGGTGTGAGATATTTTTCGGATCTGGGTGGCTCGTCAATTTTGAAGGTTGGACTTCCCCAAAATGGTAGGTGTCCCTCTAAAACCCCCAAACAAGATGTACTCTCAAAACAGATAGACCCATATCAGAAGTTGCGCACTTCCTTTTTTCTCCGTTTCTGCCCACTTAAACCTCATCTCCAAACTAGCCAAAACCAAATCATCTTCTATGGCAGCCATGCCAACTGTGAGTTCACATTTCCTTTGGACTTTCCCCAAACATTTTACATTTTGCTTGTTGTGGTTAAGTGGTTGAAATCCAACCACTTAACTGCTAAAGTTTGAGAATTTGAGCTCCCCTTCCAACGTCAACCAAGTCCCTTCAAAGTCAACCATTTTTCCACTAAACCAAAAGTCAACCAAAAGTCAACCAAGAGTCAACCAAGAGTCAACCAAAGTGACACCAAGAGTCAACCATTCCCTTCAAAGTCAACCAAAAGTTGAACAACTTTTTGCAGGGGAATCCTTGCAGCCAAGCAAAGACCCTCAGTTCCTTCGGATTTTCCGTCGCGCCACCGCGTGCTTCGAGCGACCTCGGTAGGCGTCCATGCCCCAGACCTGCGGGCTGCCGGACCCGGGGAGCTTCGCCGTGGTGGGCGCGGCGGCATTCATGCGCCTCACCCGCGGTCGCCCGTTTTTTGTTGTTGTTGGTGTTATTTGTTTTTGTTTGACCTGCAGCCAAATGAGAAAAGAATAGAACCCGGACCGGTTGAACGAGCCCAGAATCGAAATGAAATGAAACGAAATGGAATGATGGGCAACAAATCGATGTAAGAATTCAGTGAAACGATCCATGGGCCCGATTTGTTTCTTATAGTGTTTGTAAAAAAAGAAGAAGAAAAGGAAGAAAAAACAAAAACAAGAAACACAATGGTACTCAACATGGGTTACTCTGGTGAATGGAATCAAGGACGAACATCTGCGGGCCGCGGTTTTGTTTTTTGACCCATACCCATTTCTGGGAAGTGTCCAGAAAAAGACGGGCAGGCGATGCCTGGGGGAAAAAGGTGAAGGAAGAAACAACGAGCAGCTGGGCTAGATCCAGGCTTGGGGCCTAATCCTCGGGCTCAACGTGTTTGGTTTGAGCGGTTGGGTGACGTGCGGTGGGGTGTCTAAATTCATTCCAGGGAGAAAAACCTTTGGCAGGGAGGTTTGAACACGGACAGCCCTGTGAACCTTGAGGCGTTCCCTTGTTTGTACCCTCCCCTGCACAGGGCTTCCGCACCGGGGGGTTCTGGATGACCATTTTTCCGGTTGAGGGGACGTTTGTGAAGGTTCTATGTTTGTTGTTTGGTTTCCCTTTTTGGCACCCGCTGCTTCCAGTCACGACTACGGTGGGCTTGCCCATCCTTACCTAGACATCATAGTTTCCCCTGGTTACCTGCCATAGTGGCTTGCCTGGAAGCACCCACTTACGGCCCCACCTTTAGCCAAGCTTTGAACAAAATGACCCCCCAGCTGAGAGCTTTTTGGGGTCTCCCAACTCAAACTTTCAGGACTCGGGGCATTTCGTCCCTTGCTCTTAGAAAAGCGCGCCTGGGGTCCTTTGGGTCAAATTACAAGCCTTGCCAGCACGGGCCAGCCAGCCTCGCGCCCCTGAGCTCCTGAGCTCCCTGCGCTCGAGGAGCGGCTCGGGGTCCATCGTGCTCTTCGTCATCGCCATGCCCCGCCCGCGGTTTTGCTTCGCTCGGCGGTTTCCGACAGGGGGGAAGGCCGTGCCACCCTTTGGCCTTTCTCGGCAAGAAATAGAAGCTTCAGGCCGAACACGGCGGGCGTTTTTTTTTTTGGGCTGGGTGAGGTTCGAGAAGCTTGGCGGTCTAACATGAGTTTGACACAAATCTCAGTGGTCCCCTTGTTTGTTCAACAGTTGTTTTTCAACAGCTGGAAGCTTGGAGTCGCCGTGGGCTGGGGCAGCTTGGGTTGGGGAGTTTTTTGGGGGAAGGGTTCTGGAAGAGTTCCCAGGCCGCCGGGGAGATACTGCGGCTTGTGGTTGTGGGAGTTTCCCTGCAAAGATGCTTGATTTCCAGGTCCTTGGTGAGTGGACGCGGCTTTGCGTCCGGGCGGTGGTCGTCGATGGCCTCTTTTTTTCGAGTTTTTCGTGGGTACGTCGTGTTTCTCCATTTCCCGGTTTCAGTACCAACAGACAGACACAAGTTGTTGCCGTGCCTTTGGTTTTGGCCACCCCCAAAGTCCCCAAAGGTCGCACACTCAGTGCTCAGAGACCCACAGCTCCTTCGTTCGTGGGCGAGTTGCTGGTGTCTCGGTTTCTCTCGACCAGTGGATCCCGGTTACTACGTAGCCAACACGTGTGCCTTTGGTTTTTAAAGGATGGCTATAGAGGTAAATGGGTGCAGGTCAAAAATAGGTACTCAACATCAAAGCCTGGCAAATGAATCCCTGCGGTCCCCGGTGGTTTTTTATTTTGACCCATACCCAAATGGAGTCACTGGGGTTGAACTGTCAGCCCCAAAAGGAGACGGCTTCTCCGTGTTGAGAAGCCACCAATAAGGCTGGTGGAGATCACCGGGGACATTCAGCAGGCAGGGTGAGAGAGACGCCCCGTTTTCTTAACCTCGGCAGGCTGACTTCGCTTGGTGGCTCCCAGCCATCCGGTTCCTTAGCTTTTTAGCTTCTGAGTGTTTAGTGGTAGTTTCCATTTCACCCACTAACAGTTAAACTTTTAGCGGGGGATCTGAGGACAGCCCAGTTCGCTGTTGTTGGATCAGGGTTTTGGGTTTCTTGGATCTGTTCATTTTTAGTTTGGGGGCTGCAAAAAAACCGTCTGATGTTGCAAGCCCATACCAACCAAGAGTTTGTAAAAACTTTGAACCTCCTTGCCTTTGTGGGCCGGGTGAGTTTCCCTTGTGGTCAGACGCAAGTTTCTAACACGCTATTTTTTCTTCAGTTTCTTTTGAGGTGATGCTTCAGGGGATCTGGTCATGGACCCCTCAAGGATTTCAGACTGAACAGGGGCACGAGTTTTGACCACGACAAGATGGGTAAAACAAAAAACGGGGATCCCAAAAACTTGTCCGTTTTCCCTGCGGCTTCCCTGAAAGAAAAAAAGCCTTCCAGAAACCCATGCGATATCCACAACAGCCCTGGCACTTGAAATGAAATCTGCTCCAAAACTCCGTATCGCCCATCTAAGCAGCTTCCAGCTGGGTCAAGAAACCGTTGAATAAACCGGGAGCCACTGGGTATGTGTGAAATCAAATTTCCCTTTTAACCCGCCTTGGGTGGTCTTCACTGTTGTCGGATCATGTTGTTTAGTGCATCTCGTTTATTTTTTTGGGTGCTGTTCAGTTTTGGTGGGCTGCCAAACAAAAAAGCCTATACCGTTTGGGTCGTAGAAAGGCGGTACCCATAGGTGTCCTTAGTAGGTTAGTTTGATTAGAAATAGATGGCACTGGTTTAGGTGGGGTTTCTTCCATTGACCAGGGCCATCTATTTTCCCACCAGGCCACCTATGGAGTGGTCCCCCCCCCCGCCCGAAGCGTGCGAGGTGCTGCCTATCGCCTTCGGGGCCTTGACGGGGCGCTGCGTGGTGCGCGGCTTCATTGGGCACGGGCTCTACCACGACCTGCTGCAGGTGGCTTGGGTTTCGGAGTTCGGAGTTGATTTTTCTTCTTCGGATGTTTGGAGGTTTTTAGGGGTTCGGACAGGGCCGAAAACCCAGATGGGCCTCCTTTTCTGGTGTGTTTTTGACGTGCAAGGCAGGGATTTTGAGGGGGGTCAAGGATTTTAGGGGCCCAGTGCTTCCAGTTACACTACGGTAGCCAGGGATTTCAAATGTTTCGGGGGGGGTTGAACTGGCCCCATGAGCATGTTTATCCTAACCCCCAGAAACAGGCAAAACTATGAAGGGGCTTAAAATCAAATGGGGTTCAGAGAACCGCCATTGTTTGAGGATTCAAGGGTTGTCATCATCCAAATTGTGTCAAACAAGGGTTGTCGTTTCCAAGGGATTTTAAGGGATGGTGTCTGGGGCGTTTCGTGCGTGTAAGGGTTGGGTCAATAGGTAAGGCAACCAAGGGTGCTGAAGGTGATGCTTAAATCGCCAAAGGGGCATAGAGGGATCCCTGTTGAAGGCGAAGCGTTGCTCAAGCAATCAGACCCTGGCGGTTTTGAGAAGCAAAGGAGGTTGATTGAATCGTTGTTTCAGTCTCGCTGGCGCAATGTGGGTCTTACCTGGGCATTGGTTCAGGTTCCCCTAAACTCGGTTGTCCAAAGCCGACCCTTTCACCTTTTGGTTTTCCATTTTTATTTTATTTATTTTTCAGAAAGGGACCCTGTGAGCGTTGGGTTTTTGCACACACCTAATTTTGCTGCATTCTGGCCAAAACCGAGGAGAAAAAAAGGATTCTGGGACAATGTGCTGGTATCATGCAAACAGTTCTCCACCTTACCCCCCCCCTTGCAGATGTCAGGCTCCTGTCCAAAACCGAAAAAAACATCGAGAAATCGAAAGATTCTGGGACAATGTGCTGGTATCATGCAAACAGTTCTCCACCTTACCCCCCTTGCAGATGTCAGGCTCCTGTCCCAAAACCGAAAAAAACATCGAGAATCGAAAGATTTTGTCCAAAACCAAAAAAACCTCGAGAAATCGAAAAAAACCAAAAAAACCAAAGATTCTGGGACAATGTGCTGGTATCATGTAAACATTCTGTTGGCCAGATTGGTTTTTTTGGTTTTTTTCGATTTCTCGAGGTTTCTCTCGGTTTTGGACAAAATCTTTCGATTTCTCGATGTTTTTTTGATTTTGGATGGTTTCTTTCGAATTCTCAATGTTTTTTTTGATTTTGGACACCTTCTTTTGATTTCTCGATGTTTCTAAGGCTGCCTGCAGCAAAAGCTTCAACACAGGACAGCTTTGCAAGAAAGAGCTTAGAAGGTTTTCAATCACCAAACAACAAGAAAACCAAAGGTGTGGCCAGCCCGACAACACCGCTTCAGGTGACAGCAAGCCCGACAGAGTCCTTAGCTTCCAGCCAGCTTGCACCCAGCCCCAGCCCAGCTAGCTTAGAGAAGAAACAGTTCAGCGTAAAGAAGTTTTTTGGAACACCAGAGCAGCAAGCCAAGGAGATAGAGCCTGTGCTATCTAACAGGGTAGTTCCATACCAGAGGCAGCAGCAGAGCAAGCTGCAGAAAGAAGCTGCACTAGTGATGTCAGCTTACCTCCAGAAGCTAGCAGAGCTGGAGAAAGAAGACCCAGAAGAAGCTGTAACAGGCAGACAAGGTGGCAGGCCTCCAGTTCTGGAAGAGCGTAGAGGAACTGCAGGTGGGCAGTTAAGCAACAGGAAGAAGGAGACAGATCCTTCCAGGAAGCAAGAGCTTTTTGCCTTTCAGAAGATGAAGCTTAGTGAAGAGATTCAAATGATTCTGGAAGAGTCTCAGCCTCAGAAGCAGAAGCTTGGGCAGTTGCAAGGAGAAAGTTCAAGATGAGCACACAGAGGCTGGAAGATTGCAGAAGAGGTTTGCCAGAGCAGCTAGTGGAGGGAGAAAGAGAGAGTTTAGCAGAGAGATCTCTCAACTTGGCAAGTGGTTGCAGAAAGAAAGGAGTTATAGCCACAACGTTTCAATCAATGAGCTGCTGAAAGAGTTCTTTGCCCTTCTGGTTGCAAGGGCAGAGAGATGCATGGTCAGGGCAGAGCTTTGCAGAAATGAGATGCAAAGGAAAGCTTGGCTGAAAGAAGCTGACTGTGCCCTACAGAGAAAGACCAAGCTCCAGCAGAGCTCAAAGTATGCAGCTTCTTATGTAGAGAAGCTGATCCAATGGCTAGGTGCAGCTTACTTGAGCAAAGATCAGACTACTCGCCTGGCACCAGTTGAAGAACAGGCGCGGGCCCAGCCTTCCAGGATATTGACAGAAAGCTCTGGCATCTAGGTGCTTGCTCCAGTTGCTGAGATTGAAGATGCACATTTGGTTGCAGATGCAGAGATGATAGTTAAGAAACGATCCTCACTGGTAATCGGCACGAGTGATCAAGTCCCACTTTGGGCCAAAGATCCAAGCAAGAAGTTGGTCTTCTCTGCAGATGAGCTCAAAGGTGCCAGTTGGGACGACAGAAAGAGGTGGACTGAGATCAGGTAGGAGCTGAAAGCTGCTTAAGTTCAGGCAGCTGAAGAAGGTTACCAGCTTGTCAGTTGGGCAGATGTAGGAGCAGGGCCTCTCAAAGTTGCAGGTAATAAGGTGATGACAGGACAAAGTTCAGATGAAAAGTTGCGTTTAACATACGAAGCTTGCCAGAAGATTTACATCCACGATCTCCTTGAGATCCTCGTAGGTCATGTCTTCTGCTGCAAGTGCCATCTTAACCCAGAGTGGAGGGTGGGACGACTCAGTGCAGGATGCAGATGGATGAGATGCTTTCTAGCTGGCCAAAGTTGCAGCGCAGATCGCGGTCAGAGGATATATACACACATAACTGCACACAACTCCCCAATTCGGAAAAACACTCGTTTCACATGGAAAATACCCACGCTGAGGGGGTCCCCCTCTCTTATTTTTTTAATAGTGGTGCCAAAAGGTTAACCCAACTGAGTTCTGGGTCCTTCGGATTGGCAGCTGAGTAAACCAATCCTTCCACAGAGTCCCAGAAACCTGCAGGTGGCTGTAGTTCCAGTGGAATGGCAACCCAACCAACCCAACCAACCCAAGCTAACCCAACCTAACCCTAGCAGTTCTGTGGCACTTGCGGGGGAATCCATGCAGGTGACGAACCTGTCGGTGATGGGCCGCGAGTGCCCCCTGGGCCGGTCCCAGCGCCGCGGCCCAGTGAGCGCGCTGCTGGCGGGGGGTAGCAGCCTGCGGCTGCTGAGGGCGCGGGAGACGCGCCCGGAGGTGCAGCACCTGCTGCAGGCGCCGACACGACATGAGTCACGTGCTCAAAACCGATTCGGGTAGATGAAGGCTAGTAAAGGGCAGTCCCAGCCAGAAATAGCTGCGGATCTCTTCTAAATTCTTGAAGCATGGTTCTGGGCTTGGACCAGTTTAATGCCGGGTTTTGAGCAAGTGACTCACATGCCGATGGCACAGGCTTCCTTTCCGGGCCAACTTTTGCCGTTTCTTTTTTGGGGGGGAGATTCGGTTCCCCTACTAAAATAGAGCAAAGAAAAAAGTGGGTAACCTTGTTCTAACCTCTCTACTGGAGGACCGCGACAAGGAGGCACCCTTGGGATCAAGAATCAGGTAATTGGTGAACTCCCGGTCACTTGCATGAAGCTTTGGGAGAGTCCCAGAAATGCTCCGGTTTTCCGGCCCTCGAACTCTTTACCTTTGGTGCATTCTGCTTGGCTGTTGGGACTTTAACTTTTTGCCAACTAATGGGTTTTCCACTAAACCGCTAAAAGTTAAACTTTTAGCAGGGGAGCAGAAAGCAACCGAGTTACATGGTGGACCCGAGAAAAACCACCAGAGTTTGATTGTGACTCAAGCGAGCCACACCCCGCAGCATGCAGCCGACTGCTTGACCAGCTTTAAGCACATACCTTGAGGAAGAAAGCTTCACTCGAGGGAAAGTCCACAGATTTTCCAATGCTGGTCATTTTCCTAGAGAAAGCCTAAACTTTCAGGGGGACATCCCTGCAAGGCAACAGCCCCAGCCAACTTTTGGGGAAACCAAAGGGACCAAACATTAAGTTTGTTTTTTGTTTCTCGGGGGAGGGGGGGGAAGGTGTCAGAATTTTGGGCACCAAAGGGGACGGTTCAATTTTGGGTCAAGAGACATTCGGGGGCTTGGCCTTTTTCAGGGCTTTTCCAGAAAAACTGGCATGCACCACACCCAGAAATCCTCTGGTTGTGGTCCCCAAAAGGAACCCCAAAATTAGATCCTAATAGACCCGATTGACAACCATAGGAACGGTGCCAACCATAGACAGGTCCTTTCGGTTTTGGTTCGAAATCGACTTTTGGTTTTTCTGGTTTGGATCTACCAGAGGTCTACCAGAGGCCACCCATCGAGCTCTATTCCCAGCTATGGGAGCAACCACTTCAACCACTTAACTTTTTTTGGTCACTGGACTTTAGATCTTTTCTGGGTCACCACTTTTTTGGGTCACCAACTTTTTTTTGGGGTTTATATATATATATATATTGTTTTTCTGGAAGGATCATAGTGGTCAACCACAAAGTGTCGTGGGCTTTTCTGGGCTCGGGGAATGCCCGGCTCTGCGGGTTCGATTGGTTCGGTCCCCCAGCCACTGGGGCCAACTTTTGCCGTTTCTTTTTTGGTTGGGAGATTCGGTTCCCTTACTAAAACAGACTACAGAAAAAAAGTGGGTAGCCTTATTCTAACCTCTGGAGGACCGAGGCTACTTGTGTTATAGAAACTAGCTACAGGGCATTCTACAGGAAACTAGCCCAATTCCCCTCCAAAATCAGGGGTTTCCTGTAGAACTTCCTGTAGGTTTCTTATGTGGCATCACCTCTCCGGCCTGAAACCCGCAGGCCTGCCCGCACCACGGGTTTCCGGTGATCAACGCGGAGGGCCGCCTCATCGGCCTGGCACGGCGCGAGCAGCTTCAGCAGTGGCTGGCCGAGAGCCAAGAGGAGTAGACAAACAAAAAGCAAAGCACAATGGACAAATCAAAAACTTGAAAGAAGCCACAAAGGATCAAATAGAAAAATCGGGAAAACAAATCCACCCAAGATCTAGGGTGGCAGAGCATTGAGCATGGCTTTGAGGTAGTCTCCAGTAGGCGGGTGCTGGCTCGCGCTTGGGCGCGCGCTCGGGCCCGGGGTCGAGGGTAGGGCAACTTCCAGGGGCTCAAATGAATGGAGACCAGCATGGCAGCTTGTGGAACCTGGAACCTTTCAATTGATGGCTTTGGCTTTGTTGATTTCGTCCATTTCGAAATGAGCCATATATACATATCTCAAATTCTGGGGCTGTCAAACGGCGTGTCGGACCTTGGCGCCGTTTTGTGCCGCCTTTTTCACGGGATACCAATAACAACCCTCCATTTTGACCTCTACCTTTTGTTGGATCCAACAGCGCTCCTCATTTCGTGGGCCCCAGTTGGTTTCCTTGTGGTCCCCCTACCAGGCGACCCTTTTTGGTCTTTGGGGCCGTTTTGTGGCTTCAGAAATCTGGGAGATTTCTCAACCTGGCTTCAAAGCCTTGGCTTCAAAGTCACTTGACGGGAATAATTAAGAACCGCATAAGGTCATAACTAGGTGAATTATCATATTTCACCAACCTGAAACTTGCGGTGGTTGAGGGGCTATTCCCCACAGAAACCACCATTTGGAGTGAGGTCGTGTGAGGTCGTTAGAATTCACCCAGCAAAATGGATTGCTTCTTGGTTTGTCTCAAAATTGGAATCGTTGACCCGCCGCACCAAGTGGTTTCGACCCTCCAAACCAAGTGGTTTTGGTTGCTCTTCGCGCTGAGTCAGGAGGAGCTGCAGGTCGAGAGCCTTGCGGACCAGGCGCCCTACTCGGTGGAGGCGGGGCCGGGAAATGCCGCGGGCCGCGGGCCCGAGCACTTGAGCCTTGGGCTTTTGGGCCCGGCGGATTTCCGACCCTTAAGGGGGGTGAAACCCCGAGTTTCTTGGTATTTACGGGGGGGGGGAATCGAATCTTTGTCCGTTGTGTTTCTGGAGGGTGCGAAATGGATTTCGCGACCATAATATGCCCCCTGGTTTATGTTAGTGGCTTGGGGGGTCCCAACTCTGAGTGGCCCAAAGTGCCTGCGAGGCGTCCTTTCCGGTGGACAGGGCCTACGCGCTCTTCCGGGAGCTGGGCTTGCGGCATTTAGTGGTGACGGACGTGTCGCAGCGCCCGGTGGGGGTGCTGACGAGGACAGATACGCAAACCGCTTCTTTTTAGCCCTTGAGCGAAACAAAATGTGGAACATGCGGCGGATGGACCATTTCCTGCAGTTGGACCGGTGCGGGATTTGGTCCATCCACTGTAGGTTGCTTTGGTTTCTCAAACACGTGGACCCCTTCTTGGATTCAAAGGGACCCCCTATATAGGTTTGGTTTCTCTAGGTCTCAAGATTCTTGAAGGAAGTCGTGCCCGAGCAAAGCCCAAAGAGCGCCAGCAGAGTTTCCATGGGGTTCAATCGGCAAGGGGCTCTTTGCCAGGGGTGATTAAGCCACAAGGCCAGATTATTTTCCTTTTTGTTTCTTTCCTTTTCTTGCATTCTTTTTTTTTGGGGGGGCGGAGTCTGGACAGGCTTCCCTGTTGTGAAGGTTCTTTGAAAGCAGCAGGGTAGACAAATGTGTTTGGCTTTCCTCTTGCCGATCAAACAACAAGGCCATGGTTCAAAACCAATGGTACCATTTTGGGATAGGTGCACCACCCATTTTAGGCTATTTTAGTGGGGATTGGGATGTTCACTGCGGGTACGGGGTTTTGACACATGGCCACATGGGTATTTGTTTTTCCGCTTCAGCCGTCCACTTTTTATTTCCGCCCCTCCTCAGGAGCTCCTTCTTCCCGTGAGCCAAAGGAGCACGCGGGGGCGGAGAATGGCTGAGAAGCCTCATCGGTTCAAAAACCTCGCCGGGAGGATGGCAAGGGTGGATGCACAAACTCCATTTCGCGCCAGGGATGGACGAACCCCATACGGGGATACACCACCAGGCGCGCAATGGATTTTGTCCATCTTGAGGCATGCGTGTGTGTGTGTGTGTGTGTGTGTGTGTGTGCTTTCCCTTTCGTGGCTAGGTGAGTTTGGGGATGGACAAGCAAGGGTTTTGGGGGGACCAGGCAACCGAGTATCACACGCCCCCCAGTGGAGTTGTTCCAGGTACCTTGTCATTTGGGCCATTGAAACGCATCGTATTTCCAGGGCCTGGGTACTCACGTTGCTCAATGTGCCATGTCCAAAATCTGTGCGCCAGGGCCCGTATCGTGTACACCCCAGATAGCAAGAAACAGGCGGAGGATTGCACACCAGCCCTCTAACAGCACCCCCGGACTCCCGCAGTCCTCCAACAGCACCCGAAGCTGCATGCCCCCGAATCAATCTTGCAAAAACGCCACACTCCAAAGCAGCGCCTGCACCGGCACCCCAAACTGCACCAAGCAGCACCCCCAAACAGCACCCCCCTGCACCCTGCCGTCAATCTGGTAAAACCGTCACCAGCGCTCGGTCAATCTTGCAAAACTGTGCCCGCACCGTCACCTGCACCACCAACGGCTCCCCAAACAGCACACCCTAACAACATCTGCACCACCAACTGCACGCCCCCTAGCACCCAGCCGTCAATCTCGCAAATCACTTTCTGTATTAGAAGCTAGAACCCCGATAGCCTTCAGCTATTTGGGGAATGAACAGAACCCAAGAACGTAAAAAAAAAGCAAAAAAAAACAAAGCATGCCAACAACAGTGAAGTTAACATGGGATTTTTCGGCTCAGACGGGATGCCGAACATGGCCTGGAGATACTTCTTAAGCCTCGGCCACTCAGATGCAAGGAGACGCCTGGGGTTAGCAACGAAGGGCCGGCCAGGTGTGTCAAGTTTAGTTTTTCCGGGCTCCACTTTTTGATTACTGCCCTTTCCCCCCAAAAGGATCGGGTTTAATCCAAAGGCGGAACCCTGGCTTTTTGTTGCCTCGTTTGTTGGCATGGTTTGGGGCCAAAAAAACAACTGGTGGAAGCCATTCGGGGTCGTGTCAAAACAGGTTCTTTGGCCCTTCATCTCCCCCGGGCCAAAAACAAAAGAAGACCTGACAGAAACCAAAGGAAACAAATAGTTCTTGGCTTCCCTGCTTTGTGTTCCCCTTAGAGCTCAAGAAGGGGTACCTCGTGAGGAGCCGACCGAAAAAGATACATGTTTTTTTGGTGGTTCTACCGGTTTTGTGGGGGCAGTCATAAGGCGACCCATTCACATGGGTCTGTAAGCCTTTATAGCCATGGTAGAACCAAAAGTTACTGGGTGAAAGGCAAGCTGCTGCTCTCTCGCGCGTGTGTGTGTGTGCGATTTTGAGGCTCGCGCACCTTGTTTTCAGGTTGGGTTCAAGGGAACCAAAAGGAAACACCACTTCTACAAACCAAAATGGGAAACCCACCAGCGGGTTTCTCACTCGGGTACGGCCTTTTGGGTTGGTTTTCAACTGAAGAAGGCGTTCATATTTCCGGTTTGGGAGTTATAGTGAGTTGGACAGATTCCTCAACAAAGGTTTCCCTTTTCGGTCAAGTTGATAATGTATGACTTCCAATCATTGGCCATCTATTTTGCCGAAAGGATACCTGGACATAGATGTAGTTTGGTTCGATCTAGATGGGTTCCGCTGGTTCAGAGTGGTTTTATGTCATCTATTTACCAGGGCAATCTATCCATTTTCCTTTCAAACGGCTACCTATGCGTACCTATGTACCTTGTTTTCCTTGAAGAATTCGAAGGTCAAGTCACAGGAAGCCCCTGAAAACACGAGCGAAATATGTATACGTGTGAGTTCCGTGAAACCAGCGGAACCCCAGCCTTTCTGATTCCAAACACAAAGGGGTTTTGGCAGACCCCTCCGGCCGATCGAGCAGTTTTGACTACATCCAACAGGCCCACCGTGAGGCCAAGGAGAAAAGTATCTTCCCAGCGAGCCGAACCCTTGGAATCTGAAAGAAACGGCCTTCAACAGCAGGTCATCGCTTTTTTTGCTTCCCCAGTTTTATTCACGACCCTAGACCCTAAACCCTAGAGCCTAAACCCTAAACCGACTTCCCCTACTCCTTGGCCAGCCACGGCCACCCCCCTCCTTGAGTCATGTTCGGGCCATCTGGGCCATTGCCCCAGGCCCGCTGCTGCCCTCGGCGTCGGCGGCAGCCTGGCCAGACTGCCAGGCTCGCTGAAACCGCGCGAGCCGGGAGACCGCGCACCAACAGCAGGTGGTCTTCACTGTTGTCGGATCATGTTTTTTTAGTGTTTCTCGTTGTTGTTTTTTTGTGCTGTTCAGTTTTGGTGGGCTGCCAAACAAAAAAGCCCATACCGTTTGGGTCGTAAAAAGGCGGTACCCATGGTGTCCTTAATGGGTTAGCTTGATTAAAACTGAAAGGCACTGGTTTAGGTGGGGTTTCTTCCATTTGCCAAGGCCATCTATTTTTCCCAAAGGCCGCCTATTGCGGGGGGTGTCATTTTTGTAAAAGGGAATCGGACCCCCCCAAATGGTGGGTTTTGCTTTTGGTGTCCTTTGAAAGCCACAAACAATTGGGCACCCTCAAACAAGAAGACACACCAAGCGGTTTCTGAAGAAGTATGTACGGGACATCCGCCCAAAAAGAAGTTGCAACGGTACAACTAGAACAGCTGAGGTTAGCGTTGGACCAAAACCGTCTCAGCAAAAAGCGGAGACACAATTAGTCGCCTGGGAGCAAGCGAAAAGGAGGAAGTTTTGTGATGGAAATAACCATGAGTCAAAAGACCCTCGCGAACGCAGAGGCCAGACGACCTTGATCACTGGGCCTTTCTCGCCAAGTCCCGTGCTGGTGAACAAGTTTTGGCCATTGTGTTCATTGCGAGTTCAATAGAAAGGGAAGGCACTTCAACGCGCCGAGTCCTATCCTCCCAAAAGCACGCATAGAACCTGCACGGGAACGCTTCTGCAGGTTCTATGTTTGTTTCTGGGAGGGTATCATTTCGTTTTTCAGCTGTCCTTTTGCAACTATGTAGATTGGCAGCTTGGTGTTTGCTGGAACTCAGTGGACAAATCCCGCCAAACCGGGCAACCCTAAACTTCTCATGCTCTTTACGGCGCATGCATATTTTGGACCTTCTTCCAATCGGGGACCCCTCAGTGTGGGTAGTTTTGTGTTGGTGTTTGCTTGCCAGACTCAACTAACCTTGATGCCTGTCGCCTTGTTGGCGTCATGTTCCATTTCACCGGCTTGTTTGTTTTTGTGCGGAAGCCTTATTTTGGCCCAGTCTTGGGCCTGGTTCATGAGGGTATGTCGCTTGTCAGGGGACCCCCCCAAAATGAATTTCGGGGTTTCCCCTTGCCTCCAACAATGGGGTTCCCCCCCCAACAAAAAGGCAGACCTAAAGGGCACCCCCCCCCCCCCTCCTCCCCCCAGATAAAAGCGCCGAAGCCTCGCAGGAGCAGAATATCGTCATCCGCAACGCGGGCAGAGCTCTCTTCACGCCTACTCCTCAGACGCGAGTTCGTAGACATCGGAGAAAATTTGCCCGAGGCGCGTCCGGGGTAGTTGCCCCAAATATGTGCATATACCCGTATATGTAGAGATGCATATATGTGGACATATGTACATACTTACAATAAACCCAAATATGCAATTTCTATCATACACACCACGTATGTATATGTACATATACATGCAGTGTACCAACACCCACCATTTCAGCATGTGAGACCCAGTGTCACTTATTTGAGTGAACTAGTCCTGAACATGGAGTACACATTGCCAGGCCTAGCCACAATTTAGGGTGTTCATTGTCCATTTGACGCATGAGCGAAGACCTGGCACAAAAATGATGCATGCATAAGAAAGGCACGCAGGATCTCATATTTCCGAGCAACGGGCAAACGAAGACCCGGGTATCAGTGCTTAGTCCCATTCTGGCTTGCAGCTTGGCAGGTAACAAAGGTATCTCCTCCGAGACCTGCATTGTCACCTTTCAATGTGTGCCTTGCTGATTTTGCTACGCTCCTCTGTGTCTCATGGCAGGCTTTTCGTAAGGTCACACAGGTGCAGCACTTTGCAAGACAGGTGTAGATTTCGGGGCAGGGGCAGCACTATTTTTCTCAGAACCACACCAGATAGTGTTCTTTTCTTTTTTCACTCGTGGGAGCGATCCACATGTAGCTGTCTAGTTGTGTAGCGGCCAGATACTGTCGTGCTCATGGCCGCACAAGCCAGATGCATCAAAGGCTTTTTTTTGTGATGCACGCCTCAAATTTACCTCCAAAAGCCTTGCGCTCCAAACCACCCCACCAGAGGGACGTTTCTTTGGGCTCCAAACCACCCCCACCAGAGGGACGTTTTTTTTTTTGTTGGGTGGTGTTAAAGGAACACCAGAAGGACAACCAGCTCAAACAAAGACATTTTCGGTTGTGTTCTTCCCCAGCTGAAAGCTATGGTTGGTTGATGTTGGTTGGCTTTTCGGTTGCAGCTAGGGAGGGTTCCGAACAAGATTCGGTCCGATTCGGTTCAAAGATTCCGAATCGGGGCTGTTGGGCCCCGGATACTTGAGATAAAGGAACGCCAAGGAAAGCGAAAAACGGGGGTCATTATTTTGACTGTTGCTGGGGTTAGCAAAGTGAGAACATGGAATCGGTTGTTTCCCTTTAACCCACTTAGGGGATGACTTTGATCATGGAAAAATCATGAGGCCGGAAAATGCACCTCAAACAAAGAGACATCCCCAGTGGTTATTCCCCACTGAAGACTGCCTAGAAGGGGGGGAGCGGGTGGATGAACCTTCAACCCTGATGCCCTAACTTGAACAACTCCCTACCCCAGACGCCCCCTTTATACAAATTTTGGGGGCAGCGGGTGGGTGGTGGTCTTCTCGCAAAATCCGGTTTTGTGTTTTTCT